TATATTGACTTGTTGAGACACTTGTTTTGGTAAGCTTTATACTTTTTTTTTTTTTTTTTACTATGAAGAGGTCTATATTATAATTGAAATTTAAGTACTTAAAAATGTTGGTAAGCACGAATAGATATAGAATATTACTTTACACTCACATTCCCAATCCTCCTGTCCTATAAATGTCTTCATTTGGTGTGCATATAGAACGCCTGGAAAAAAATATCTTTTTCTTTTATCTCTTATCTCTAAGGTGACAAGGAATAGGCATAAATGTTTTGTTTTATAACTGTCTCTTCTGATATTCTTGCTTTATGATAATTTGTCTGATATAGAAATAACCAAAACACCTCTTATCAACAGGGTGCCTGAATGAAATGCAATTGTACACCTAACCCTTAACTGTACCCCACAAAATCATAATAAAAAATATTGATTTAAAAAAAAGAAATAACCAAAGAACTTTGCTTTTTATGTAATTAGGATTTCTGGATTTTATTCTATTGTTTTTAATGTAAAGTTCACTAATTTTTTGGTAAAATGTATGTAACATTTTAACTATTTTCAAGTGTACAATTCAGAGGCATTAGTTATTTTACAATGTTGTACAGCCATCACCATTATCTTTTTTTTTTTTTTTTTCTGAGTTGGAGTCTCACTGAGTCGCCCAGACTGGAATGCAGTGGCCGCTCCCGGCCACCACAGCTTCGACCTGCTGGGCTCCGGCAATCCTTCCGCCTCAGTCTTCTAAATAGCTGGAACTACACGTGTATGCCACCACACCCGGCTAATTTTTTTTTTTGATTTATTGTAGAGATGAGGTCTCGCCAAGTTACCCGGGCAGGTCTCAAACCCAGGCTCAGGCAATTCACTCACCTCGGCCTCCCAAAGCATGGGATTACAGGCTGAGCCACCGAGCCCGACCCACAATTATCTTTTAAAAAGCTTTTCAGACACTCCAATCAGCATCTTTGTATCCATTAAGTAATAACTTCCATTTTCTTTCCCCTGGTAACCTCTAACCTACTTTCTTTCTGTCTCTATAAATTTGCTTATTTCATACCAGTAGAATTATTCATTATTTGTCCTTAGGTGTCTGGCTGATTTTACTTACTTAAGAATTCGTCCATGTAATAGCATGTGTCAGAATCTCATTACTTTTTATGGCTCATTAGTATATTTTTTTGTTTAAAAATTATTTTACCTCTTTGTGTTCATTTGAGCCGACCAATGTTTGTATGCTTACTCTATAGTCAGGGAAATTAGCTAAGTACTAAGGATGAAAAGGTGACTAAGACAGGTAACTTCCTATAGTCCAGGAGTTGATAGTATAATGAAGACTATAGGCAAATAAATAACCTAAGTTTGGCCTTTATTAGGTTCTATTGGAGCACATCAAAGGAGTACCAACTTTCCAGTTGAAAGAGAGTTGTGACCATGGGAATAGAAAGATTGCCTGGTAACATTGAGTTTACATTTGAAGTGTAGGTCATAAAATCTCCATCAGATCTCAGCAGTCTGGATGTGGGTATGGAAAAGAACTGAATGTATATATGGTTTGGGTTTAGCTGGGTAAATGTTACAGAAACTCAAGAGTGTAATAGATGCATATAATGACATGTGTTGACAGATTTTCAGATTGTATCTGAATAAAGGAAGGAAGTAGAGAATTGGTTTACAGGGTGAAAAAATTGGTTAGAGACCAGAAATATCTATGAGATGCAGTCAAGGTAGTAACTAAGAATTGGAAGGCTAGAAAGTAGAAGTTATTAAAGTGAGATATTTGAATTTATGTTTATAGATGTGAAACATGGCTCAGCCTTTGGAGCCGGAGCCAGCACGGATAAGCACTGTTTCCTGGCAAAGTTAAAAAAATTTAAAAAGTGAGATAAAAGCAAATAGTGAAAATTCTTGTATGGCTGTGAAATAAATAACTAAAATGAAGCTCTAGGTCTTGGGGTTGTCTTATGGTAATTCACTTGAACTTCCACATCCTTCAAGATGCTAATAAGACACTTAGGACTGGGAGAATGACTTTGAGTCAGGATTCAAATTCTCCAACAAGTAAAAGGAATCTATAAATGGATAACATAATATCATTCTCTGTCTAAATCAGAAGGAAGATTATAAATAATTATTCCTGAACAGCAGGCATAAACCAGGATGTCTAAGCATATAAAGCCCAGGTGATATGAACATCAGCAGGCATAAACCAGGATGTCTAAGCATATAAAGCCCAGGTGACATGAACATCAAGAAGAAAGGAACAGGCAGCTATGAGGATATGCAAGTTGAACCATCTTTATATTACTGGAATTCCATTTGGTCTTGATGTGTTGTAGTTGTGTTTCTAATATTCTTGTAATATAGTGCCAGTTTTCCTTCCTGATTTTTTTTCCTTTTTCATTCTGAATTTATGTATTTTTATCTTCTTTTTGAACCAGCTAAGTTGATTGTTTTGTTTTTATCCACAGATACAGCTTTTGCATGTGTTTGTCTAATTACCATTTTAAAGTTCTACTACTAACTTCGTTGAGATAAATACTTGGTGCTTATTTTCACTCTTCCTTCTTAGCATTTTAAGTATTTAAAGCTTGAATTAATGATTTACCAGTTTACTTTCCGCTGTTTCTTTAGCTATTCTGCACTTATGGTTACCAAGCATTTGGGGATTTGTGAATTTTTGTGTTTGTTCTCTATTGTGGTAGATTTGTAAATGATGATAAGGACAAGAAGATCATGATTTATATAAAGTGCAAAAAAGCAGGTTGCTGAACAATACAATTATTAGGAACACAAGAATTACTGAGAACAAGGATATTTTTCTAATGTTTTGGCTTTCTTTGTTTCCATTTTCAACTATAGTTTTATTGTATTATGGTCAGAAAATGTGAGCCTGTTAACTCATTCTCCTTACTAGCACACATTGAAGGTTTTTGTAAGGATTATAATTATATCAAAATTAATTTCAGATGACAAAGACTAAATTAAAAAGAAACCATAAAACTATACTATGTGAAAAATTAAGTGCACATTTTTTTTTAAGCAGAGAGGAGAAAGCGTTTCTAGAAGCAGTTCTTAAAAATTAAAGCCACAAAAAAATACCTGTTTGGAGGAAAGGAGCATAAACTAAGTAAAACTGGGGAAAGTATTTCTAAAATCTTTGGCAGACAATACATAAAATGTGTATAGAAGTCAGTAAAAAAGAGAGTTAGACAGAAAAATGGTAGAGGTACCTAGCAGACAATTCTTTTTTTGTGTTGAGACTCTCACTCTGTCACCCAGGCTGGAGTGCAGTGGCGTGTTCACGGCCACCGCAGCCTCAACCTGCTGTGCTCAGGTGATCCTTCCATCTCAGCCTTCCAAATATCTGGAACTATAGGTGTGTACCACCACACGGCTAATTTTTTAAAAAATTTATTGTACAGATGAGGTCTCACCAAGTTGCCCAGGCTGGTCTCAAACCCCTGGCCTCAGGCAGTGCTCTCGTCTCCACCTCCCAAAGTGTTGGGATTACAGTCATGCGCCACTGTTCTTTTTTTTTTTGCCAGGAAAGAAGGCTTTTTATTTGGATGGTATTCGACTGACAGTTCTTAAAAGAAATACAAATGTCCCCAAATGTAAAAAGTTGTTTGATATGAAATACATCCTAAAATAGTAAAGTAAAAGTCTCTCTGTCTGTCCCCACCACCACCCCCAATCAGTATAATATTCCCTGTTAATAAGGTAATAACCACTCTACACTGGTTGGAGTACAAATTGGCATAATTTGGGGGGAAGACCATTTAGTTTTGTCTGTAAAGATTACCCTTTAACTTAGGAGTTCTACCACTGGGGGTTTATTTTATGGAAACATTAAAATAATTTATAGATTTTATATGTTTCTTTCAGCATTTTCATAAAACATTGAAATTAGAAACTTCCAAATACCCACTAGCAAGTGGTAAAGTGGTATATCTATTCGATGGAATACTATACAGTTACCACATAAGAATGAGGTTGATGTATTCACTAACTCAGAAAAGATAAAATGAGAAAAGCATTTTGCAAGGCAGTATTTGTAGTGCCATTTATTATGTTATAAAACATAATACAACATTATACAGTATGTTCTTCTATACAGGAAAAAGCAACCAGCAAGTCACATACCAGGTTATTAATAGTAATCTCTAGAGGTGGGATTATTTTGAAATGTTTAAATTTCACCTTTAATTATTAGTGAGATAATTAGAGTTTACTTTTTTTTAAAGTATGTTGAAAAAAATAGATTTGGTCTCACTGTGTTGCCCAGGCTGGTCTCAAATTTCTGGACTCAAGCATTCCTTCTGCCTTAGCCTCCCAAGTTGCTAGAATTACAGGTGTGAACCACTATGCCTGGCCTTGTATTTACTGTTTAATCAGTCATTATGTTTATTTGTATTCTGATTTTTTTCTTTGTTTTTTTTTTTTTACTTTGTAACTTAAGCATAAACTAATGAAAAGTTATGTGGATAACTAGAGTATAATAGTGAAGACTTGATTATTTCTGTATTAATGGAAATATCCTGTCTTAGGATTTTTGCTAAAGTGGGAAAATAATTCATTCACTACTTTTTGGCATTTTTACTATATTTTCTTTCGTGCTGTCCCATTTTAAAAGAGGTTGGGGTAGGGGTCTTGACATGTTGCCCAGCCTACACTCAAGCAGTCCCCACTTCAGTCTTCCAAGTAGTTGGGACAACAGGCATGTGCCACTGCATCCAACTTGATTTTCTGAGTTGCATTTTTAAAATTTCATGTATTGGGGAGAGAAAACATCCAGGTGGTTCATACTGACTTTTGAGGGCTATCTTCTTTTTTTTTTTTTTTTTTTTTTTTTTTTTGTGACACATGCACTTTATTGACCACCACTGTAGAAAAGTGTGTGAGTACAAACTGCTGTAGAAGGGGCCGAGGCACGGGGAAGAGAACGGAAGGTTGGGCACATGGGCCTCGCTGTGGCGATGATGAACTCCACGTGGCCTCACAGTCTACTGAAACACCACGAAGATCAAGACCAGAACGAGGATGACACCAATGGTCCCAAGGATGCCCAGGATCAGGGCCCAGATGTTCAGGCACTTGGCGGTGGAGGCGGAGGCCTGGGCCCCGGTCACGTCGCCCACCATCTTCCTGTCCCTAGACTTCACGGAGCAGGCGAAGGCGATGAAGCCCAGACAGCAGACATTCAGGAAGAGCGTGTTGAACAGGGACCAGACGACGTGGTCGGGCACGGAGGTGTCACTGTGGATGTGGATCACGGTGGACGTCGTGGGAGCAGGGCCGTGGGGCGTCCCCAGCATGGCCACCTCGTGCTCCTCCTTGAGCATCTCATAGTTCAGGGGGGCGCCGGCGCTGGCCCGAGTGAAGAAGGTCTGGGAAGTGTGGTGCATGGCCAGAGACGGGGGCGCTGAGGGGTCGAGGGCTATCTTCTTAAGACTTTTTTAATTCCATAAAAATCTTTTAAACTAACACTTAGTCCTTTCATTTACTTGTGAATTAACTTGAACTTCTGCTTGGAAAATGGAAAGCAGATTTATTTTTTTTCTGAAATGTTGAAATAAACATTTTAATATCAGTCATACCTTGTGGTAGTTGCAGTGGAGATGAAGCTGCTTCTAGTTTTTTAAATATCAATAGATTTGAACTCAAATGGACAATCCAGTAAGTATTTATTATTCAATTATGTTAATTTTCTTCTCTTTGTCTTTTATTGTTTCTGCAGAGGCAGTTGGTGTCACCAGCCAGCGACCAGTATTTTGTCCTTTTCATAAAAAGGAGCAGTTGAAGCTTTACTGTGAGACGTGTGACAAACTGACATGTCGAGACTGTCAGTTATTAGAACATAAGGAGCATAGGTACCACCATCTTTCATTATATACATAGATTCATAATACTTCATGAGGACTAGAAGAATGCTGCCAACACAGTCAAATGGCAGGCTGCAAATATGCTGAAACCAGGATTTCAACTTTGGCACTATTGACATTTTGGGCTAGATAACTCTTTGTTGTGGGGGACTGATTTGTGTACTGTGTTATAATTAACAGTATTCTTGACCTTTACCAACTAGATGCTGGCAGGACCCTACCTTCTCCCCAGTTGTGACAACTAAAAGTGACTCTAGACATTGCCAAATGTCTTATGGTGCAAAATCGCCCCAAGTTCAGAGCCACTGGCATGTATGTTGTTTTAAAATATGTTGAATTAGTTGCCTGCATTGCAAAATTAAGGCGTTTTTACTTTTTTTTTTTTAATGTCGACTTCTGGCTTTTTTGAGGAAATGGAAGCTCTTCTGTCTGTATACTTTCATGTCAGCATTTGAATGGAATTGACTTTGGTGCTCTTCAGAATGAAGCATGTCTTTTCCAATCATTATTGTCCTTACCAAAGTTTGCTATTAAATCTGACCTCTCTAAGCATTTGGATTAGCAAAATTGCTTATAGTAGTCAAGGCTCCCAATAATGGCAGACTAGATAATTTAAGGCAACCATACCAGTGAGGGCAACTAGAAAACCTGGACGAGTCATTTTTATGAAATTTTAGAGCTAATGAAATAATAAAGAATTAAAGGATGAAGGCTTCTCCTTGTCTTGAGTTGAGATCCTGAAAGTCTACATTACTGTAGCTGGTAAGTAGTTCCTCACAGGGACTCAGCACCTAAGGTTGGATTAAAGTGAAGAAGTCATATTGCTGGTACTTCAAGGTGCCTGTAATCAAATGTAAATGTCTCTAAAAGAAGAAAACATTTTAGACTCCAGTTTATTCAGTGAATTGTCCAATACAATATACAGTACACATTTAAAAATAACCAGGTATGCTAGGAGATTATGAAAATGTGAACAAAACCTAGCAGATACACAATCTAGAAAAATACATAAAGATCTGCATCTTATTATATCAAAGTGATAAAAAAGGCAAAATGAAAAATTTGGGTGGGAAACTGAAAATTCTAAAAAAAGAAGTGGAAAGTATAGAACTGAAAATTGTAATAAATGACATTCAGTAGAAAGGTTTTATAGCAGATTTGGCATAAAAAATGAAAACTAATGAACTAGAAGAAAATTAAGATACCCAAAAAGAACATGGTAAACAAATTTAGGTTAGAGAGTAGAAGAGATAGTCAAGAAAGAGAGGGAAGGTCTAACCTGGAAATAATTGCAGTCCAAGAAGGATAGAAATGCTGGGTGCATTGGTGCACTCCTGTAATCCCAGCACTTTTTGGAGGCCGAAGCAGGGAATTCAGTTGAGGCCAGGAGTTCAAGATTAGCCTTGGTAACTTATCGAGAACCCATCTCTACTTAAAAAATTAGCCAGGTGTGCCTATAGGCCTAGCTACTTGGGAGCCTGAAAGGGAGGATTGCTTGAAGCCTAGTAGTTTGAGGCTTTAGTGAGCTGTGCTCTTCAGCCTGGATGACAGCAGTGAGACCCTGTCTCAAACAAACAAACAAGTACAGAATGGAGAGAATGGGAAGGAAGCAATATTTGAGGACACAATATAGTGGCTGAGAACTTTCAAGTACTGATGAAAGACATTTAGCCCATATTCAAGGAGTCCCACAGGCCCCTAGCAGGATAATTTGAAATGTAAAAAGAAAATGACAAATCTAAAATACTATACCCAGTGCACATATTTGATTAAAATGCAGGTGAATAAAAGATGTTTTGGGCAAACAGGGAGGAGGGATATATATATTAAAAAATATATAACAACATAGTTATAAACCCTCACTAAAGTACTATGTAGGCAGAAAAAATGATAGGATCTAACGGAATAAAGAGCAGTTAAAATAGTAAGCATGAATAAATCTAAAGGAACGTTGACTGAGGAAACAATAATGTTAGTGTGTGGTGTGTATATATGTATGTCACATAGCAGTAGACATGTTAGGAGGATATGGGATTTGTGTTCTAGGCTTCATTCATGGCCTAGGAAGGTAGCAAAAAAGTACAAATGAATATTACGTGATGACAGTTAAAGCTTGCATTTTGTAATATATAGAGTAGTTATTAAAAGAATAGTAGATATACATGTTTCCCAAATAAGGGGATAGGGATGGATATTTTTTATCAGTTTAAACAATGGCCAGAAAAATGAGAAAAAGGAATAAAGAACAGATGGAATATAATAGGGTTTGGTAAGTTGGTAGATCTACAAATATGCTGTAATTATACTAAATGTAAATAGACATAATGTTCCAAATTACAAACAAATTTTCAGACTAGATAAGAAGCGAAGTAGCTGGGCTCAGTGGCTCAGCTTGTAATCCCGTGCCTTTGGGAGGCTGAGGTGAGTGAATTGCCTGAGCCCACGGGTTCAAGACCCACCTGGGCAGGCGAGACCTCATCTCTACAATAAGTCAAAAAATTAGCCAGGCGTGGCAGTGCGCACCTGTAGTTTCAGCTACTTGGAAGGCTCAGGCGGAAGGATTGCCGGAGCCCAGCAGGTCGAGGCTGCGGTGGCCGGGAGCGGCCACTGCACTCCAGTCTGGGTGACAGTGAGACTCCAACTCAACAACAACAACAAAAAACCAAAGTAGAAAAATCTGCTATTTTATTTTTATGAGACACATCTAAGACCTTAAGTATATAAAAAGGTTAATGGGTAAAGATGTGTCATATAGATGATTGATCAAAGGCAAGATGGTGTTGAAAGAATAACATTATTTGAGATAAAGAGGGAAACTCTGTAAGGATGAAAGACTGTCTTCATCTAAAAGATTTGAATTCTAAATTTATATTTACCACAAATTTACATAAAGAAAAATGACAGATTTCAAACTAATAGACAAATCTACAGTCACAATGGGGGATTATACCGTACTTTACTCAGTAATTGAAGCAAGGTGTGAGGGTGCATACCTATATTTCCAGCAACTCAGGAGATTTAGGTGGTAGGATAGCTTAAGCCAGTCTAGCTTGGGCAGCATAGAAATAAACAAATAATTCACAAAGTAATTTCCAAATCAGTAAAGATATATCAGTAAGATTAAAATAGCACAATTAGCAAAATGTTTTACAGACATTATGAAACACTACTCAACATACATTATTTACAAACATATAAGGAAATATTTTCAATTCATTTTATGCCAAGCATAGTCTTAAATTTCAAAGGATTTAAATCCTGGGCCTGACTTGGTGGCTCAACCTGTAATACTAGCACTTTGGGAGGTCGAGGTGAGTGGGTTGCCTAAGCCCATGGGTTTGAGACCAACCCGGGCAACTTGGCAAGACATCATCTCTATAATAAATCAAAAATTAGCTGGGTATGGTAGTGTGCACCTGTAGTTCCGGCTACTTGCAAAGCTGAGGTGGAAGTATCCCTGGAGCCCAGCAGGTCTATGCTGGGGTGGCCATGAGCATGCCACTGTATTCCAGCCTGGCGGCAGAGTTGAGACTCAACTCAAAAAAGGAAAGAAATCCTGCCAAATAAGTTGTGTAACTACAATGCAGTTAATCTAGGGAACAATAATAGAAGAGAATAGTCCCATAGAAATGATATTCATATGAAAGCTAAATGCAGTGATGCATGATTCTGGACTGTATGCTAAGTTAGAAGAAAAAATGATATGGAAGACATTGAGACAAATTGCATGATTGGAAATATTCTGTCGATTAGATGGAAGTATTGTAACACTGTCGGGTTTTTTTTCCAACTTAATAACTGTACCATAAAGGAACATCCTTGTTTTTAGGAAATACACACTGAACTGCTATCATGAGGCAAAAGTTAAAAACTGATTAATCTGTGTAAAATATACTGAGGCCTCTATACTCTTGCAGATTTAACTTTGAAATTATTTCAAAATAAGCAGTTAACAATAAATGTAAACAATCAGAAGAAATTCCAATGGGTATTATAAAATATTGTGATCAGAATGATAATGAAAATAGTACATACCAAGACCGAATTTAGGTGGTTCAGCCTGTAATCCCAGTACTTTGGGAGACTGAGACAGGTGGGTTGCCTGAGCCCGTGGGTTCGAGACCAGCCTGGGCAACTTGGCAAGCCCTCATCTCTACAATAAATCAAAAATGAGCCAGGCATGGTAGTGCACGCCTGTAGTCCCAGCTACTTGGAAGTCTGAGGCAGAAGGATTGTCTGAGCCCAGCAAGTCAATGCCGGCTTGGCCGTGAGTGTGCCACTGCATTCCAGCCTGGGCAACGGAATGAGAATCCAACTCAAAAAAAAAAAAGAAAAAAGAAAATAGTACATACCAACCACACCTTCAAGTTTTTTTATACCTAAGCCTTATTCAAAATGAAATTTATATCATTAAATGCATATATTATATACAGGATACAGAGTTAACTCACTAACCATTATCTGAAGTTAGGGAAAACAGCAAACCAAACCCAAAGTAAGTGAGTTTTAAAAGGGACATAATAAAA